ATATATATATAATAAATATAATAACAAAAACTTGGATGAACCTCAAGAAAATTATGCTGAATAAAGAAAGCCAATATCAAAAATATATATACTGTGTGATCCCATTTATATAGTATTTGTGAAATAACATAATTATAGAAATGGAGAACAGATTAGTGGTTGCCAAGGGTTGGAGATGAGAATTAGGGACTGTGTGGGTGTGGCTATAAAAAGGTAGCATGAGAGAGTTTTGAAGTGATGGTACAATCGAGTATCTTGAGGCTACACGTGTGATCAAATTACTTAAGAGCTATATGCAAACACAGTCTAAGGAGTGCCTATATGACTGATGAAATCTGAATATATTCTGTGATTGGTACGTCTAATTTCCTGGCTTTGATATTGTTACTATAACTATGTAAGCTGTTAAGTTTGGAAGCTGAGTAAAGGCTGCATGGAATCACCCTGTAAATTTCTTTGAACTTTCCAGTGAATTTATAGTTATTTCAAAATAAAAGAGTTTAGAAAAAAAAAGAAAAAACTTCAGATAGGACTTCTGGTCTACTTCTTGGATATACTGATTGAAACAATTCTAATCAAAGCTTGGAAAATTTGACAATTTAGAGAAATATTACTGTCTGGGCTTTTCAGAGTCTTAGATCTTAGAGATCCAATATACTATTTCAGTTGTTCTCAAAATGTATCTTTTGCATACATCAGCATCACCTAGGTACTTGGTAGAAATGCAAATTTTCATTCCCCACTCCAGACCTACCAAGTCAGAAACTCAACACGGGCCCAGCAATCCTGATTATAAAACCCCTCCGGAGGGGAGGATAGAGCTCAGTGACAGAGCATGTGCTTAGCATGCACAAGGTCCTTGGTTCGATCCCCAGTACCACTATTAAAAATAAATAAGCCCAATCCGCCCCCTCCAATAAATACATAAATAAAAAGAAATTGCCTCTTTAAAAATCCCTCCGAGGGGTGCTGATGTGCACTCAAGTCTGAAAACCACCATTCCACTGGGTACTCCATAAATGCCAACGATCATGATGACACATTTTATATTTGAATCACCTTTTTTCCTAGTGGAGACCCTCTGGTAAAACCACAGTCCAAGCCACCCAATCAGTGTCCTCTTTTCCAAGCTGCCTGTGCTCCCACCCACACATTCTCCATATGTAGGCTTTCAACAGGGGAGAAAGAAATCTTTCAAAAGCCACCATCCTAGGTTGCTGAAACACACAAGCTTCTACTAAAGACATAATTTTCCATAAATCCAAACTGTAAAGGGAATGCTTGTTCCCATTAGGCCTGGCTTAATGAGCATACTTGGAGCTGCCTAAAGCCTTTATCCTCCAAGCAGAAGTGATGCTGCAAGAAGTGGAATTACATATAAATCAGCAGTGCCTTAAGCACTTTACAAAAGAAGCCCCTAATGTAAATCACATTATGTATAAATAATGACATCAGTATCTCCCTCATCTAGTCTTTACCTCTAGGACTAGGAGGATCAAAGCCATATGATAGGTGCAGCTTCAAAGGCCTATCCCGGGTCTGGGAATGGGTGTGCTCCAACAGGCCTCTCCATCCTCAGTTTCCTAATTTCACAGCCATTAGCGGCTCTAACGTGGCCATTAGAGCCTTTCTGCCTATGATATCTTTTTTTTAAAATAAAATTAATGGCACAAATTCCAATAGTGGCTTCAGCAGAGAAAACCCCCTTTGCAGTGCAATGTAGCCCAGTGTTGTTTGACTTTCCTGCATCATTGGAAATGCCCTAATGGAACACTTTAATGAATAAAACTGACTTTCAACAAATTTTTGCTTTGGGTAACTTTAATGTAGCAAGACAGCCCTAGAAATAACTGGAGACTATGGGAGAGGTGACAGGACAAGGACTGGAAATCAGGGAGCTGGGGGTAAGGGAGAGGTGGCAGTCCCATCTCAGGGTCTGGTGGGACTCCATTATGCAGCGACAGGGAGGGGAGAGTGTGAGGCCTGAGGGTAGGGTTACCCATCTGATGGGCTAGATCGGTACTGGAGTTGTGGACCACGGCAGGGACCAAACGACTACAAAAGTGTGGTCCAAGGTTAGACTGGCAGGGAGATGGACACCCCCCCCGCCCACTTAGGGAGTATCCAGCTGAACAGCATGCCGAAGTCTGGGCCAGTGTCAGTTAGCATCTCTGAGGTGGGTCCAGCTGCTCATGGGTAGGGCTCCTGGCCCAAGAGGAAGGCAGATAGCGCTGGACAGGCCCCTGCTCTGAGTTAGGGGGAGGGGGAAAGTGAGAAGCAGGCCTCAAAATGTGCTAGAGCCCACAGTGGAGATGATAGGAGAGGAGAGGCCTTTGAGTCACACTTACCCACCATTCAAACCTCTATCAGGATGGGGCATCATTCTTGGAAAAACTGCAGCTCAGGGAATGCTTTGGTACCTTGTCCCTGTCCAGACTAATGAGAAGGAACTCACCAATGACCACTTCTGAGAAGGAGGAGTAAGGGATGTGCAAAGGTGATTTAGGAAATTCCTGCTCCCGTAGATTGTTCTGGAACCTGGAATAGGAAATTTAGAAGGGTCGATTTGGAGCAAGAAGACAGCAGCAAGGGAGGTAAGCGTGGAATGACATGAGCACCACTAAAGGCACTGTGTCCTATCATTTTAGATCAATGTTCTCAGCTCTGGCTGCACGTCGGAGTCACCTAGGGAGCACATAAAATTTCTAGTGCGTGGGCTTTGTGCCACACAATTACTGCAGAATCTCTAGGTACGGGGCCTAGCCATTGGTAATTTGTAAAGCTCCCCTAGGGTTCTGATATGGAGCTATTGTTCTGTTCTAGACTCTTGCCACTTAAAAGTGTTATTCCCCAGAACCACAGCACTATCACCCTCTGGGAACTTGAGAGAAATGCCAGGCCCTGCCCTAGGCCTGCTGAAGAGAATCTGCCTTTGGATGAAATCCCCTATGCACACTGCAGTTTGAGAAGCAAGGTCCTGAGCAACACCCCGCCATGCATGGCAGACAGCAGGAAGGACGCAGTAGAAGTCCTCACTATGGTGCTGGGGGTGTTACCGCTTATAGGGGGAATTGACATCCAGTAGGCTCTTGGGTTACCAGGGAAACCTACCAGCAGAAGGGCATGTTCCCCCATAGCCTCTTTGATAAGCTAGCAGGGTGGAGCAGTTCACTAGCTGGGGCGGTGTGGGAGGTGGCAGGTTGGCAGAGTGGGAGGGGGTGGGGATGCCACCCCAGCCCTGTTAACCTAAAGGCCAGACATAGACCCTCCAGATTCCCCTTCTTTGCCTCATAAGGGATTGACCGAGCTGTTTGCCTCCACTCATCAGTACGAACAAAATGCTTATGAACCAAACTTTGGTTAAGATTCTCTCCTTCCTTCAGGTCCCCAAATTTGGCCCACTCTCAGCCTGAGACAGGAAACAGCCCGTCCTCAACAGCCCCTCCTGAGAACAGACTGTGGCCTCAGGGTAAAATACCCTCTGGTGTACTATCTGATGGTCTCCCTCTCCTTCACCCCAAGTCCCTCCCCCTGGTTCTTTCTACTCTTCTCCTTATTAAAGATCACCCCTCTTTGCCCAGCCATGGAGGTGGGCAGTTTTTATGGTCAAAGGATTTCCCCTCTGCCCTACTCCCTTTTCCTTGCAAAAGTGCCTTCTCTTCCCTTCGATAATCCTTTCAAATAAAGCCTCATTTTATAGAGAGTAGATGTGTTTTCCCATTTGACAGAGGAATGGGGAGAGTTTGGAGGGAGCTATTTTGAACAAGTCACCCTGAGGGCAGCATCACAAGGCTGTGTCTGGGGAGGGTGAGAGGGTGCAGGACGGGAAGCAGGGCCCTAAGGATCAGCTGGGGAGGATGACGCTTTGCCCAGGGCCAGCAGGAAAGAACAGGACTGAGGATCCAGGGGGTCATGAGAGTGTGAGAGGTCTGTCGTCCCAGACTCAGGCCTGGATGCCATTTTAAATACTCCACCTCTTCCTCCCGGCTTTTCACTTCCCAGCTTGGGAACCTGATGTGAACACGCCCAACAATGGCCAAATAATGTATGGAGCCAGCTGGCACTCTCTAGAGTCATTAAACCCCTACCCCTGCGCTCTCTGTGTCCCTGGAGCCATTGACACCTTAACCCCACTCCCCTACTGCAGGACCCTCCGCACACCTGCATTTCTGCAGGATAAAAACATCTCTTGATTTGTGTTTACCCTAACAAAACCCATCGCCCCACCAGATAGCCTGGCTCACAATACCATAGGCAGACAGGACTCACATCCTGCCCTTGTCAGAGTTGCAAATCTTTATTTTTTTAAAGAAATTATACGATTTTTTATTTTTTGAATACAAGTTTAATTTTAGATGGTAAGGACTGATAGATGAGATAATTAGCCTCATCCCATTGCTACCCCCAAGTTTCGATTGGTGATATTATTTTCATTTTGTCTAGTTTTATTATGTTTGCACTATTCCCAGTCACCATAATTCGGGGGCCAGGTGTTTTGAACAAATCTCCCCTTCTTCCTTCAGGCCTTTTTGAAGCAAAGTGCCTAGAGGCAATGCCTCCCACCCAGACTTCATTCACTCTCCTTGGATCCTCCAGGCGGGCAAATGGTGATCTCATTGATGTCCAGCTGCAAACTGTCATTCCTTGTCCTGAGCTTTTAAATACTATTCTTTCCTCTCAGACTAACCAGGTCCTATCTGTTCTTTGAAGGCTATTTTAAGTTCCACATCCCTAGGATGTCTTTTCTGCCCACTCCATTTCACATCTTAATTTTTACCTTTTCTCTAAAGCCCTCCTAAATTTCCTGTCTGTATCATTCATTTTTTAAATTTTTTTAAAAATTTTATTTATTTATTTTTAACATTTTTTATTGAGTTATACTCACTTTACAATGTTGTGTCAAATTCCAGTGTAGAGCACAATTTTTCAGTTATACATGAACATACATATATTCATTGTCACATTTTTTTCCACTGTGAGCTACCACAAGATCTTGTATATATTTCCCTGTGCTATACAGCATAATCTTGTTTATCTATTATGCATTTTGAAGTCTCAGTCTGTCCCTTCCCACCCTCCACCCCCTTGGCAACCACAAGTTTGTATTCTATGTCTGTGAGTTTGTTTCTTGTTTATTTATTTATTTGTTTGTTTGTTTATTTATTTAGATTCCACATATGAGCGATCTCATATGGTATTTTTCTTTCTCTTTCTGGCCTACTTCACTTAGAATGACATTCTCCAGGAATGTCCGAGTTGCTGTAAACGGCATTGTGTTGTCGGTTTTTATGGCTGAATAGTATTCCATCGTACAAATTTACCACATCTTCTCCATCCAGTCATCTGTTGATGGATATTTAGGCTGTTTCCATGTCCTGGCCACTGTAAATAGGGCTGCTATGAACATCAGGGTGCAGGTGTCATTTTGCAGTAGGGTTCCTTCTCCCTAAAGTGGGTCTCTTGTATGCAGCAGATTGAAGGTTCTCGCTTTATTATCCAGTCTGCCATTCTATGTCTTTTGACTGGAGCATTTAGTCCATTAACAGTAATTAATGATAGATGTGTGTTAATTGCCATTTTGAACTTATTTTTGTAGTTGATTTGGTATTTCCTCTTTGTTCCTTTCTTCTTCCTTTTGTGGCTTGGTAATTTTCCTTTGTATTATCTTGGATTTTATTTAGTTTTTGTGACTCATTTGAAAGATTTCGGCTTGTGGTTACCCTTTTTTGTACGTCTATTAACCCATGACTGTAACTGTTTGTATTAAACAGATAGCAATATAATCTCAAACCCATCCTATGGAGAACAAAAAATTTTAAAAAGAAAAAAATTAACTCTGTATTTCCTTGCTTCCCTCTCCCACTCTTAAGGATTTAGATGTCTTCTTTTACAATTTTGTGTTTATTCTATTTGTAATTCTTGGTAGTTATCACCTTTCCAGTTATGAGTTTCTCATTTTTGTAGCATCCTGCTTCTTTTCTA